TGGGAGCAAAGGATTATGGGATATATGTGTTTGTACTGGCTTGGTGGGGGGTGGGGGGTGTTTCCTGCAGCCCTTCCCCCTGATGGGACAGACTGCTGATGTGTTTCCTGTTACTGGGTGTATTTCCCCGCCCCGTGTATATGTCATGTATCTATGTTAAAATAAAGCAGTCCATTTCCTGCTTTAATATGAGTCTGGTGCTGTCGCTCCTCCTGTATGGTCAGCGGTGGTGTCGGTGGATCTGTGTTCGGACGGGGAAGCGGGAGTCTAATGGAAATACCCGAGTGCAGTCGGCGTCCGGTTCCGTTACACATAGCATTGTTGGTTGTGACCAGAACGCTCTGTTTTGGTCTCGTCACTCCAGATTACCAGAAGCTGTGAGGCGTTTCCAGGTTTTGTCCGACATATTGTACCCGAGCTTTTTCGTGGCATTGATGCAGTAAAGGCTTCTTTCTGGCAACTCCACCATGCAGCTCATTTTAGTTCAGGTACAGTTCTCCTTGCAACAACCGCACCGTCTTTCCAGAGCAGCCTGGATTCCTCCTGAGGTGACCTCTGGGGTTTTTCTTTATATCCTGAACAATTCCTCTGGCAGTTGCCATCTTTCTTGGTCTACCTGACCTTGGCTTGGTTTCAAGAGATCCCCGAATTTTCCACTTCTTAATAAGTGATTGAACCGGACTGACTGGAATATTCAAGGCTTTGGATATCTTTTGATATCCTTTTTCATCGTTATAAAAATTCCATTACCTTGATGAGCAGGTCTTTTGACAGTTCTTGTCTGTTCCCCATGACTCAGTGTTTTCTTGGTCTACCTGACCTTGGCTTGGTGTCAAGAGATCCCTGAATTTTTCCACTTCTTAATAAGTGATTGAACAGCACTGACTGGAATATTCAAGGCTTTGGATATCTTTTGATAATCCTTTTCCATTACCTTTACCTTGCGAGCAGGTCTTTTGACAGCTTCTTGTCTGTTCCCCATGGCTCAGTATCCTAGTCTGCTCAGCCTGCCTCCATGTGAAGCGAATACACTCATCGCCTATTTAATAAGTGATCACAGACACTGATTGCAATTTAAGAAGCCACAGACGTGGGAAATTAACCCTTTAATTGCCATTGTACCCTGTGTGTGTTGACACCTTGTGTGTCTGTACCAAGCCATACCTTCTCAGGGGGGGAGAATCTTCCTTGATCAGGGGGTGGAATGCTATCTGATCCGGCCTCATTTGGGGATTCTTGTTATCATTAGGATTTAAAAAGGCAGCCAAAAACTTTGTATTATAAATGCGTCATAATCGTCACTATCCTCAAATAAAAGGCTTTTTTGTGTCATGATCGGATCAGATTTTGACCCTCAATGTGTCCAAAATATCAAGGCCATTTTCTGCAGGGGGGGGGGGGGGAGGGGGGGGGGGGGGGTGGGTGGGGGGTGGGGGGGGGGAACTTTTTTTTTCTTTTCGGGCCTGTTGACTTTCCTCCAGTCTTAATAAAGAATATCAAACCTGCAGTAAGTGCGGAGAAGCGATGATATGCAATTGCCTCGCAACTCCTGCGGGGAATATAAATCCCTCTCCATAATTGTATTAAAAATAACTCGTATACAGGAAGCGTTCTCGCTCGATCCTGGAGGTAACGCTCCGGCGTTCGCAATATATAAATGATCGTCGTATCCTGAGACCGAGATAATGATGGCGCCATTATCTGCCGCCTAATCAGTCACAACATGTCACTCTATTTACAGATTGTGAGAATCAAATATTTAATATTAAAGGAGAAAACAAGAGAGGAGCTCCCGCCGATCTCTCCCACGATGAGTGTCACCTCCAGTGTGGTGGTGTCACCGGGGCTCCGCACCATCTGGGCTCATCATCGACTCCACCACCGGCGGTCATGTGACCAATATTACTGGTCGTAGCGCAGCACAAACTCCTTCCTGACCCCACAAAGCGCAACTTCCCCGATTGGGAAACGTTTCTAGAATTCCCTTCTGTGATTGTATAGCTGTGAAATGAAAGAGGAACATCGGCCTTCCCCTCAGTCTTCTATCCCCCCTCCATCCCCCCCCCTCAGTCTTCTATCCCCCCTCCATCCCCCCCTCAGTCTTCTATCCCCCCCTCCATCCCCCCCCCCCCTCAGTCTTCTATCCCCCCCATCCCCCCCTCAGTCTTCTATCCCCCTCCTCCCTCCCCCCCTCAGTCTTCTAGCCCCCCCTCCATCCCCCCCTCAGTCTTCTATCCCCCCTCCATCCCCCCCCCCTCAGTCTTCTATCCCCCCTCCATCCCCCCTCCGTCTTCTATCCCCCCCCCATACTCAGTCTTCTATCCCCCCTCCACCCCCACCCTCAGTCATTCTATCCCCCTCCATCCCCCCCTCAGTCTTTTATTCCCCCCTCAGTCTTTTTATCCCCCCTCCACCCCCCCCTCAGTCTTCTATCCCCCCCATTCCACCTTCACGATCCTCCCCCCGTTCAGTCTTGTACTATCTCCCTCTATCCCCCACATTCAGTCTTCTATCCACCCCTCCAGTCTTCTATCCCCCCTACCACCCTCCTCAGTCTTCTATCCACCCTCCCATCCCCCCCCCCATCAGTCTTCTATCCCCCCTACACCCCCCCCTCAGTCTTTTATCCCCCCTCCACCCCCCCTCAGTCTTCTAATCCCCCCCCCCATTCACCTTCTATCCTCATTCCCCCATTCAGTCTTCTATCCACCCTCCACCCCCCCTCAGTCTTCTATCCCCCCCATTCAGTCTTCTATCCCCCCTCCACCCCCCCCCCTCAGTCTTCTCATCTCCCCTATCCCCCCCCCATTCAGCCTTCTATCCCCCCTCCCACCCCCCCCCCCTCAGTCTTCTATCCCCCCCCATTCAGCCTTCTATCCTCCCCCCATTTAGTCTTCTATCCCCCCTCTATCCCCCCCATTCAGTCTTCTATCCCCCTCCATCTTCTGTCCCCCCTCCATCCATCCCCCCCTCCATCTTCTATCTCCCCTCCATCCCCCCCTCCAGTCTTCTATCCCCCCTCCATCCCCGCCCTCCAGTCTTCTAATCCCCCCTCCATCCCCCCCTCCATCTTCTATCCCCCCTCCATCCCGCCCTCTAGTCTTCTAACCCCCCTCCATCCCCCCTCCAGTCTTCTATCCCCCCTCCATCCCGCCCTCCAGTCTTCTAACCCCCCTCCATCCCGCCCTCCAGTCTTCTAACCCCCCTCCATCCCCCCTCCAGTCTTCTATCCCCCTTCCATCCCCCCCATTCAGTCTTCTATCCTACTTCATCCCCCCCTCAGTCTTCTATCCCCCCTCCATCCCCCACTCAGTCTTCTATCCTCCCTCCATCCCCCCCATTCAGTCTTCTATCCTACCTCCATCCCCCCCTCAGGCTTCTATCCCCCCTCCATCCCCCCCTCAGTCTTCTATCCCCCTCCTTCCCCCCCTCCAGTCTTCTATCCCCCCTCTTATCCCCCCCTCCAGTCTTCTATCCTCCCTCCACACCCCCTCAGTCTTCTGTCCTCCCTCCATCCCCCCCCCAGTCTTCTGTCCTCCCTCCATCCCCCCCCCCAGTCTTCTGTCCTCCCTCCACCCCCCCCCCCCCCCCCTTCCTATCCCCCCTCCACCCCCACCCCCCCGCAGTCTTCTATCCTCCCTCCATCCCCCACCCCCCCGCAGTCTTCTATCCTAATCCAACCCCCCCCTCAGTCTTCTGTCTTCCATCCCCCCTTCAGTCTTGTACAGGTGTACCGGCTCCTCCCCTTCAGTCTTGTACAGGTGTACCGGCTCCTCCCCTTTAGTCTTGCACAGGTGTACCGGCTCCTCCCCTTTAGTCTTGCACAGGTGTACCGGCTCCTCCCCTGGACTGAAAGGCTTCCTCTGATGTCACTGCACACTGGGAGATCTCACAATGTGCATTAGAATCTGCAACAAGTCAGAGCTCCGCCTCCTTTCCTGGCTGGAGGATGTCCTGCGTCATCTATCTCTTTCCTCCCCAGCATGACTGTCTTTGGCCCCGCCCCTTTCATTCATTGGATTTCAGTTCTGTCAATTAAGGAGGCTCAGCATCACTATGTGGGTATGTGGGGTCACCCAGGGTGGTCCTGAATGCAAAGACAGCCTTCCTAGGACCACCCATTCCTACAGACATACATCTTCTCCCATAAAGGCATTTTGATATCTGCATAACTCCTCCCAAGACCCCGCCCACTGCTTGCATCAGGACTGAGAGCTCCTAAGGGGACTACTGAGAGGTTTTCAGGAAGCCATGTGCTATACTATACAAAGGTGTCATTATTTTTTTTAAATGATAACAGAAATCCCCTGAATGGCCCGGATCAAAAGTCCCCGCCCTGCCCTGCCCCGCCCCGGAATGTTCGGCCTTGGTACAGACACACAAGGGGGGGGGGGACACGGGTTACCATGGAAAATTAAAGGTTCATTTCCCACATCTGTGGCTTTTTACATTGCAATTAATGTCAGTGCTGCGTGTATTCGTTCTCACATGGATGCACTGAGCAGGCTAGATACTGAGCCATGGGGGAGCAGACAAGAAATGTCAAAAGTCCTGCGTAACAAGGTATCCGGGAGAATTCATAGAGAAGTCTCCGGTGTATGGAAACATTGAAATGAAACCGGAACGACAGAGACTTTGTTTTATTTTATTATGTTTCAATAAACCAGAAACTTCTCTGTAACTTCTCCCGGATACAATGCTTCCCTCACATGTTGGCAACGAGTTTGGTGTAAACCAGGGGCCTCCAAACTGAGGCTCGGGGCCAGATGAGGCCCTATTACTTGCCTTTATAAGGCCCTCGGGGCACTATTCCTCCCACTGTCACCAATGATGGGGCACTGTTCCTTCCACTGACACCAATGATGGGGGCACTATTCCTTCCACTGACACCAATGATGGGGCACTATTCCTCCCACTGACACCAATGATGGGGCACTATTCCTCCCACTGACACCAATGATGGGGCACTATTCCTCCCACTGACACCAATGATGGGGCACTATTCCTCCCCACTGACACCAATGATGGGGCACTACTCCTCCCACTGACACCAATGATGGGGCACTATTCCTCCCACTGACACCAATGATGGGGCACTATTCCTTCCACTGACACCAATGATGGGGCACTATTCCCCCCACTGATACCAATGATGGGGCACTATTCCTCCCACTGACACCAATGATGGGGCACTATTCCTCTGAGATTGAGGAAATGCTTCCTCCTCCTACAAAGTTACAATGTACAGTCTAATCAGTGGGGGAGGAGACTGAGGAAATGACTCCTCCTCCTTCTACAAAGTTACAATGTACAGTCTGATCACTGGGGGAGGGGAGACTGAGGAAAGGGTTCCTCTTCTCTGCAGCAGACTGATGACATCATCTCAACCTAGGCAGAGTCACTGACTGGAGCTTGGCACGCTCGTAGAGTTGAGGGCGCCATTGAGGTACCATCAGGAACACATGTAAAGGTGGAGCCTTTCTGAAGGGTGACCCCGTTCCTGTGTGCTGTGACAGGTCATGGAGATGGGGACGTGTCGGGTCCCTGACAGGTCCTCTTTATGTAAATCTGCAATAATAAGCTCCAGGTCTCAGTCATCTGATTGGTTGCCGGTGTGGGGGGTTCACCATCTCTGTCTTGGTGTCGGGGGGACCTGGAGGTGATCGAACGTTTTGTTGTCACCAGGGGCGGGCTGACCATTCGAGCACTCAGGCACTGCCCCAGGGCCCGGGGTCAGTAGGGGGCCCCGTGAAATGCCCCTGGTACCTTTTATAGGATTATTTGGTTGTGCTTTGAGTTTGGGCAAGGACACAGGGGCCCCATGATCCCCTATTGCCGGGGGGCCCCATGAGTTGTCAGTCTGCCCCTGGTTGTCACCGAGGAGATATCTCCGTTGTCACGATTTGCGGTTCCTGACTTTCGGGCAGAAGAATCTCTTCTCGGCTTTTCTTAAACTCCTCGTTTTGCTCGTTTTGTGCGATTTGCGGCGGTGTCAGTTCAGGTGAGGCGGACGCATGCGGACTGCGCGGCGATTATACGTGGGCTGCCGTAATGGAGCGAAGCGCGGGCCGGGGGCACGCAGGGCAGCAATCAGGACCTCCCACCGCGTCTAATAGCCGGAATTTCAGGTAATCTGAATATTTGCAGACGGCGAGTAGCGGCGGAGGAAGCCACGCGGCGCCGGCCTCCGCCGCAATGAAATGCATTATTCTGATTGATGGACGGCCAATCAGGAACAAGGCGCAGGAATGTAATAATAGGTGAACGGGATTAAATGGACCGCGACAATCGGCAACAAGAAGGAGGCGGGTCATGTGACCCGCGCAAACACTCTGATTGCATCGCCGCGCTAAAGTCCGGACAACGGCTTCAGAAAACGACTTTTATTGTCAAAAATACAGAGAAATCCGTCATCAGTCCAGAAATCGGCCTTACTGGGCGGTCGCACACCAGCAAAAAGCTGAAATCAGGCTTGCAGCAGGAGAGGCTGCTCTATGGAGAGCGGGTGGAAGGGCGGGGCTCCTCGCACATTAACTCTGAAGAGCGATCCACTTATATATAAGGGGCGTGTCTATCACAGCTTTCCACTGTCTACGGTTCCTAGGGAAGCAGCAGGTACTATGTACCCCTTACTCAGTCACATGGGGGGCAGTATCTGGGGGGCCCCCTTAAAAAAAAAAGGAGCTTCCAGATTCCAATAAGCCCCCCCCCTACTCACAGACCATCACAACCACTGGTCCAGGGGTGTGGGGAAGAGGCAGCGCAGTCATCAGAAAGTTTGGGGCCCCTTGCACAGCTGTAGGTCTGGCCCCCTTTGGCCTCACCACCAACATTCTCCAGGGCCCATCCCACCGAATCCGCCCACTGACCATTCCACTGAGTCTCCTCCTGCAGTCAAATCTCCCCCATCCCATGTCCTCCTCCAGTCCCATTTCTCCCATCCCATGTCCTCCTCCAGTCCCATCTCCTCCATTCCATGTCCTCCTCCTCCTCCAGTCCCAACTTCCCCATCCCATGTCCTCCTCCTCCAGTCCCATCTCCCCCATCCCATGTCCTCCTCCTCCAGTCCCATCTCTCCTAGCCCATGTCCTCCTCTTCCAGTCCCATCTCTCCCATCCCATGTCCTCCTCCTCCAGTCCCTCTCCCTTATCCATGTCCTTCTCTTCAAGTTTTATATTCTTCATCCCAGGTCCTCCTCCTGCAGTCCCATTTCTCCATTTCATGTCCTCTTCCACCTCCAGTCCCTTCTCCTCCCATCCCATGTCCTTATCCTCCATCCATGTCCTCCTCCTCCAATCTCATCTCCTCCGTCCCATGTCCTCCCTCCAGTCCCATCTCTCCTCCATTCCATGTCCTCCTCCTCCAGTCCCATCTCCTCCATCCCATGTCCTCCTCCTCCAGTCCCATCTCCTCTTATCTGATTTCATCCTCCTTCTTCAGTTTATATCTCCTCATCCCAGTCCTCATCTCATGTCCCATCCTCCTTTAGCCTCATATCCTCCATCCCAGTCCCTTCTCCTCCTCCTCCAGTCCCTTCTCCTCCATCCATGTCCTCCTCTCCAGTCTCTTCTCCTCCATCCCATGTCCTCCTCCTCCAGTCCCCATGTCCTCCATCCCATGTCTTCCTCCTCCAGTCCCATCTCCTCCATCCCATGTCTTCCTCCTCCAGTCCCATCCTCCTCCATCCCATGTCCTCTCCTCCAGTCATGTCCTCATCCTCCCCATGTCTCCTCCTCCAGTCCCATCTCCTCCATCCCATGTCCTTCCTCCTCCTCTAATCCCATCTCCTCCGTCCCATGTCCTCCTCCTCCAGTCCCTTCTCCTCCATTCCATGTCCTCCTCCTCCAGTCCCATGTCCTCCATCCCATGTCTTCCTCCTCCAGTCCCATCTCCTCCATCCCATGTCCTCCTCCTCCAGTCCCATGTCCTCCATCCCATGTCTTCCTCCTCCAGTCCCATCTCCTCCATCCCATGTCTTCCTCCTCCAGTCCCATCTCCTCCGTCCCATGCCCTCATCCTCCAGTCCCATGTCCTCCATCCCATGTCTTCCTCCTCCAGTCCCATCTCCTCCATCCCATGTCTTCCTCCTCCAGTCCCATCTCCTCCATCCCATTTCCTCCTCCTCCAGTCCCATGTCCTCCATCCCATGTCTTCCTCCTCCAGTCCCATCTCCTCCATCCCATGTCTTCCCTCCTCCAGTCCCATCTCCTCATCCCATGCCCTCATCCTCCAGTCCCATGTCCTCCATCCCATGTCTTCCTCCTCCAGTCCCATCTCCTCCATCCCATGTCTTCCTCCTCCAGTCCCATCTCCTCATCTCATGTCCTCCTCCATCCATCCAGACACTGACCGCTCCCTGCACACACCTGGCATCTGCCCACCATTCCACCCTCGTCTGCATCCTGGCAGCCAATCCACTCTGCTGCTGCCCTGCATTAAAGACGGCCCTGGTTGGGGCCGAGGCCCCTCGGGATGCCTTGGCCGCCTATTTGTTTATGGGCCCCCCCCCCCCATGGCAGTCCTGGGAAGAAGCCCCTGAACTTATCCACATGTAGACAAAGTGCTTTGCTAGCTCTTCTAAGAATGTGCCCCCCCATGTTGGGGGGTAGGTGTCCTCATATGATTCAGAAGGGAAGGGCTCACCCCCCCCCCTTTTCCTGGGCAACCAGGCAACTAGTATTTATTTTTGAGGTGGGGGGGGCAAACATTTTTTCTTGATTTTAGTATGTAGAGTGGCCTCAGGCAGTTTTTTTTAAAGGGACTGTGACGGGAGTGACTTTGGGTGGGGGGCCCATGGAACACAGCTTACTTTGGGTGGGGGGCCCATGGAACACAGCTCACTTTGGGTGGGGGGCCCATGGAACACAGCTCACTTTGGGTGGGGGGCCCATGGAACACAGCTCACTTTGGGTGGGGGGGCCCATGGAACACAGCTCACTTTGGGTGGGGGGCCCATGGAACACAGCTCACTTTGGGTGGGGGGCCCATGGAACACAGCTCACTTTGGAGAGGTGGGGAGACCCCTGTCTCAGATCCCCATATCCCTCTTATGTGTAAGTCCCCCTGTGCCTGTTAGGGGTGCGGGGTGATCTGTCCTAATATTGGGGTGAGGGGTTGTTCATTGTTTACTGCCATGTGGTCCCATTGTTCTATTGTGTGTCTTGCTTGGGAGCAAACTATTATGGGATGTATGTGTTTGTGTATTGGCTTGGTGGGGGGTGTCTGCTGAAGTGTCTCTTGTTGCTAGCTGTGGTTTGCCCCGCCCTGTGTGATTATGCAGGGAGGGGGGATTGCCCCGCCCTGTGTCATTATGCAGGGAGGGGGGATTGCCCCGCCCTGTGTGATTATGCAGGGAGGGGGGATTGCCCCGCCTGTGTCATTATGCAGGGAGGGGGGATTGCCCCGCCCTGTGTCATTATGCAGGGAGGGGGGATTGCCCCGCCCTGTGTGATTATGCAGGGAGGGGGGATTGCCCCGCCTGTGTCATTATGCAGGGAGGGGGGATTGCCCCGCCCTGTGTCATTATGCAGGGAGGGGGGATTGCCCTGCGTCATTATGCAGGGAGGGGGGATTGCCCCGCCCCGTGTCATTATGCAGGGAGGGGGGATTGCCCCGCCCCATGTCATTATGCAGGGAGGGGGGATTGTCCCGCCCTGTGTCATTATGCAGGGAGGGGGGATTGCCCCGCCCTGTGTCATTATGCAGGGAGGGGGGGATTGCTCTGCTCTGTGTCATTATGCAGGGAGGGGGGATTGCTCTGCTCTGTGTCATTATGCAGGGAGGGGGGGGGGATTGCTCTGCTCTGTGTCATTATGCAGGGAGGGGGGATTGCCCCGCCTGTGTCATTATGCAGGGAGGGGGGATTGCCCCGCCCTGTGTGATTATGCAGGGAGGGGGGATTGCCCCGCCTGTGTCATTATGCAGGTAGGGGGGATTGCCCCGCCCTGTTTCATTATGCAGGGAGGGGGGGATTGCCCCGCCCTGTTTCATTATGCAGGGAGGGGGGATTGCCCCGCCCTGTTTCATTATGCATGTAGGGGGGATTGCCCCGCCCTGTTTCATTATGCAGGGAGGGGGGATTGCCCCGCCCTGTTTC